AACAACAACAACATTCACTAAACCTGGATGTGAAGCACTGACCATTATTTGTAAACAGTCAGTCTGATATCCTTAGAAAATCATTCATACTGCTGCATCTAGCACAAGGGTTACTGCCTTTTAAACCAGTTGCCATTAAATTGATTCTGATTTATGTCAACCCTGTGTATGTCCAAGTAGAACTGTGCTCCATAGGATTTTCAATGGCTGAAATTTCTGGAAATAGATCACCCGATCTTTTTTCCAAGACATCTCTGGGTAGACTCTGACTGCCAGCCTTTTACTCAGCAGCCAAGTGTGTTAACCATTTGCACCTCCCAGGGACTGCTACAGCTTATTAAGTGATTCTTTCTTGCTATAGATTATTAAGTTGTATACTTATATTCATTGGTTCTCATTCCAGCTGAATGGTGTGATCAAACATGAAAACCACACCAAGGTACAGCGTAATCAAATGGCTAAAAACCTGTGATAAAGGGAAAATGCTCTAAGTAGTCAAAGGAAAAGGATACACTGTATACCGACTTGCCTATCAGTTGCCATCTAGTCAGTTTTGAATCATGGTGAACCCGTGTGTCAGAACAGAACTGTCTGCCATGGGGTTTTTAGTGATTGCTTTTTCAGAAGTAGATTGTCATGCCTTTATGCCAAGGTGCCTATGGGTGGCCTTGAACTTCCAACCTTTTGGTTACCAGCCAAGTATGCTAACCATTTTTACTACCCTAAGACTCTACTATATTGTTGTTGTTAAGTGCCATTGAGTCACTATGAGTTGAGTCACTATGAGTTGGACTCATAGTGATCCTGTTATGGTTTCCAAAGTGTGGCTTGTGGGTTTAACCGCCAACCTTGTGCTTCAAACCAACCTTATGGTCCAGTGCGTATCCTACAGCACCACACCAGGACTCTCACTATATACAGAGGAACAAAATTAAGAATGACAGCAAACTTCTCATTAGAAACAATACAAAGTCAGAAGACAGCATTGAGGTGGCGGTGGGATTTGTAAACTCAGAATTCTATAATCAGCAAAAATTAAAATGAAGGAAAAATAAAGATATGCAAAAGCGGAGATAATTTCTTGATAGCAGAGCAGCAAAAATGTTTAAGAAAGGACTTGTTTGAAACTTCCAGCCATTCTCGCTGGAGAAGGATGTCATGCTGGGTAGGGTGGAGGGTCAGGGAAAAAGAGGAAGACCCCCAACGAGATGGATCAGCCAGGTGGCATCATTGATGCACTCAAGTGTGGCAGCGGTAGTGAGGTTGGCCCAGGATCGGACATTGTTTCGTTCTGCTGTGCATGGGGTCGCTATGAGTCGGTTCCGACTTGATGGCACCTGACAACAACAAAGATGGGGGGAAATGAAGTCTACTGCTGGAAAGTTCATATGATGTAAGTGAAGTTGCATAATATTATATAAAATCAGACTGTGATAAAGAGAAGTTGTATATTGTGAACCCAAAAGCACTACCAATAAAACAAAGTGAGTAAGTTAGCTGTCACTGAATCAGCTCTGACTCATAGCAGTTTGCCTCTGCCCGGGAGATGGGGGAAGTATTGACTGTAAATGGCACCTTTTGTTGTTTTGCTGAGATAGATTTTCCTGTACCTTGATTGTGGGGGTAGGCATGTTGTTATTGTTAAGTGCCTTCTAGTCAATGACTCCTTTATATTCGTATGTATCCACATATATATGTGGATATAAATGAATATAAATATATGTATACACATATATATGGTGTATGTATACACGAATATAAATTTATGTATACACATATATATGTGTATATATGTGGTGTTGGTAGTGTGCCGTGGAGTCAGTTTTGACTCATAGCGACCCTGTATAGGGTTTCTGAAGCTGTAACTCTTTAGAGGAACAGAAAGTCTCATTTTTCTCCCTCGGAACACCTGGTAATTTCAAACTGCTAACCTTGAGGTTAGCAGCCCAACTTGTAACCACTATGCCACCAGAACTCCTTATGTGTATATGTATTTGTTGTTGTTGTTAAATGCCGTCGAGTTGGTTCCGACCCATAGTGACCCTGTATAGGGTTTCCAAGGAGCGACTGGTGAGCTTGAACCACCGACCTTATGGTTTAAACTGACTTTGCTGTCCAGTGCACTAATCCCCCGCACCACCCCGGGACTCTCCCCGCCCCGCATATATATCCATGTGTATATCTTTCTGTGTGTCTAACCATGTCTGTGGACTCCTGGTGCAGGATCAACACTGGATTGTGAATCACAAAGTCAGCAGTTCAAACCCACCAGCTGCTCCTCTGAAACCCTGTATAGAATCTATATCTTTCCAAATAATGAAATTTCACTAGAGAAAGGCATATTTGTCTCTTCAGAACTCATTTTAGTTTCTCTCCGATTTGAAAGTGATGAAAATGTCATCCTCAGAAATTACCCAGGTATCATCACGACTTCTCCTTCTCCAGGTGCATCTTACCAGGACCACACATCCCCTGAGGAGAAGATGGACGATGCTGTAGCTCCAGGCCAAGAATACACCTATGAGTGGAATATCGTGGAGGACAGTGGACCCACACATGACGACCCTCCGTGTCTCACACACATCTATTACTCCCATGCTGATCTGATACAGGACTTTAACTCTGGGTTGGTTGGACCTCTGCTTATCTGTAAGAAAGGTAAAAAAAAAAAAAAAAGGAAAAAACATTAAACATCAAAAAAATTGGAATGAGGCTTAAAACATCTTGGTAGCTTTTTGTGTGCATCAAGTAGAGGGAACCCAATCTTCCTTCACCTGTTCCAATCCCTCCTCTATCTCAGTCCTGGGCGCCTCTCCCAAGGAACTTCCTGTCTGTACGTATGTTCTGATGTGATAGGTAACATTTACATCATGGCCAAAGTCTTTTTTAAAATCTACAGCAGGCTATGCTATGCTCAGAGAGCACTTGAAAAAATGTTACTAGCAAATCTGACATTCCTGAGGATTAGGCTGGTAATTTGTCTACAAATACATAAAACTCCAGCTTCCTTTCTTATGAGTAATCAGAACACTATGGATGGTAGGTTTCAGATACACTCAGTTGAATTTATAAGAAATTTCATTGACTGGTCTTCTTTGTAACAAGCTTGATTTTTTATTTTACTCCAAGAGAATCTAGTCTATCTCTTTTTAAAACAAACAAACAATGAACTACATTCTGGAAAATAATGTGAAAGACTGTCAGTCTATACATACACACATCCTGTACCTGTATACATTCCTAACTTATTCATTAATTCCACAAATAAATTTAATTTTTTTCTGGTACATAGAAGACAGTATGATAGGCTGAAAAAAATTAAACTTATAGAAGACTTTTGTTTTGCCATCACCTGCATTTTTCTTTATCGTTTGAAAATGGATTAATTTTTATCTTCTTACAACCAAGTCTCTGGTGTCCCATTGTATGTATCAGCAAGATGGCTGAATTGAACTTGGGATGCAGTGTTTTTACCTATAAGTTAAAGTATCTGTGTATCGATACTAGAGGAAATATTTTACTGGAGCCTTAAGAGTCCCCAAATACTACCAACCATGTGTGTAAAATGAAGTTTATTTCCCCAAGGCCACAAGGTGCCAGACAAAACAGCTAATGTGGCACCAGGATTTTAATGGGTCTCCAAGAATTATTACTTGATAAATATGTTTAATAAGAATGTCCAGTTGATATCATTATGATTGGTTAGTTGTCTTAAATTCTTTACTATCTAGAGATAACAAATGAAAACTTTCTTTCTGGGATGCTGTTGAAAAGCTTTTATTTTCACAGGCACCCTAACTGAGGATGGGACTCAGAAGATGTTTGATAATCAACATGTGCTGATGTTTGCTGTGTTTGATGAAAGCAAGAGCTGGATCCAATCATCATCCCTCATGTACACCGTCAATGGCTATGTGAATGGGACACTACCAGGTAACATGTGGGCTGTGTACTATCCAAAAGCAATAGAATGGGTGCCTTGGAATCCATTGTTTTTCTCAAAGCACTAGGAAAGTCAGCCATACTGTTTTTTCAGCTCCTAATCAGAAAAGCAATGTAATCTAAAACAGTGGTTTTCAAACTTTTATCATTTTTTGTTTATTTTTGACCAGCAAGTACAACAGACGAACTGGAAGTTAGCTAAAATAATAAAGAGTATGCAGTCGTATTGGATGCAATGCATGGAGAAGATTTTACCTTGCCCTGCACCTCCAGGAAGGTCTTCAGAAAGTTGGCACAGTTTCCCTCAGTGCTTTCTGTGGTCCCTGATGCCCGATGACCATGCCTTCTCTCACATACAGAACCCTACAGGACAGAAGTTCAAGGGCAATCTCTAGCAAGGATTGTAGAATCAGTAGGAAAAATGTAGTGAAGACATTTGTAATGAAAATTAACAAATTAGGGGAAATCGCCAACATACAAAAATTTTGTTAGCATTTCAAACGGTGATCAGTGACATTCAATGACACAGATGGTGTTTCCTTTTATCCATGTGCATGTAGATGCTTGTGAGAAAGAAATATCATAACATAAGGGGGGGAAACAAAACTGCCTCCCACTTAGACCACTTCTACCTCTTTCTGGTCAAACTGTCTTAGAACCAAAGAATCAGCATATTTGGTACTATCCTGGGGGAAAGAAATGGGAAAATGGCTATGTTTCCAACTGTCTTTATAAAAGAAACCTTATTTTCAAGACACTAAACTGTTTATAACCCATCTTCTATATTTCAAAATCACAAATTATCAAGAGTTGAGATTTGGGTGTTGCTTTTGAGTTACATTCAAATTTGACTCCATCCTCCATCTGAGACATTAAAGACACATTCACAAGTCTTGCGTTTGATTCAGAGTTCCAAAACCAGGAGCTTGCAAACCTGGGACTTAATTAACTGACCTCTGCCTCAGGAGATCTGAATTCAAACCTCACTCGCTTCTCTATCTTAGCGTGGTCCTTGGCAACTGGTCATGTCAATAAGCATACTTACAAAAATGGGTTAGCCAATTATCCTGATGCTAATTGGTTCCACATATCATATCCAATACTAGGGGCCCTTGTGGTCAAAAGGGAAACTATCTGTTTTTTGGCAAAGTGAACAATCTATGTAAATACATGAAAGCTAAAAGAAGAATACCATATGCACACACACACACAAAAAAACCATTACTAACTTGATCAGAGCAGAGAGTTTATGATTTTATAGTTGGAGAAAGCCATTGGGGCTAAGAGGGATAGGGCAGAAAAACATTGTTAGTACAAACAGAATAGTTCATGCTTATAAAAACCGCTGCCTTATGAAACAATGTAAACTGAATAAGTATAGTAAATGCTAATCAGATGTTTCAATTGCTGAAATCAATGGAATAGATAAATGCTTCCACCACACTTCCTGTCCCAGGTTCTTGCATCTTGTTCTCAAGAGTGATGTCAGGAATCCTTCATGTCTGTAATGTTGTTGTTGTGTTGTTGGTTGCCATCAAGTCGATTCCAGCTCATGGTGACCACCTGTGTGCAGAGTAGACCTGCTCTGTGAGGTTTTCAAGGCTGTGACTTTTCTGAAGCATATTGTCAGGCCTGACTTCCAACGTACCTCTGTCTGAGTTCAAACCACCAACCTTTCAACTAGTAGTAGAGCATGTAATCATTTCCACCACCCAGGGATTCCTCTGTTGCAATGCTCTCTCTCTCTCTCTCTCTCTCTCTGTTTTAAAGAGATAAGTCTATCCATAGTTAAGGCACTGATTCTCATCTGGCAATGATGGGTCTGAACTTTAAAACCCAAACCAAGGATAGAAATCAAGGATGGAATCTCCCACAGAGTGAATGGGCATTTCCCCAGCCATCACGGGAACAAAGAGGGAATGGAGCTAGCTTCTGCAGTGAGTTCTCATTACCCCATCATGTAAAGCTCCCAGTGGCCCAGCATAATGAGGATCTGCTCATTTCATTTCACTGCTTTGCCATTAGAACAGTCAACAAATGGATAGAGAAGGAATAGGACAGCCTCAAAGAGTCCTCACAGCTTCTTCCCACTAGGCAGTGCTCTGACCTCCATCCAGCTGAGAGAAAGAGGTCCCTGAACTCAGCCCATTAGAGGCTCCTGTGATTCCGTCCAGCTGACTCCAGCTTGGTTCTAGAGTGACCGACCATGCCAGTTTTCCCAAAACTTTCCTGGTTTCACACTGAAGTCTTGAATCCTGGGAAGTCCCTCTGTTCTGGGTAAACCAGGATGGTTGGTTGCCCTACTTGATCCGCTCATTGGCCTAAATCCCTAGCAATCCCTGTGTTTCTGAGCTAATGTTGCCTATCTCTAAGCTCCCATGAAACTCCCATTCTTACCCCTATAATGCCACTTACTGTAATGCCTTATGACTCCTTGTTTCCTGTCACTCAGCCATCTGCCTTCACAGAGCAGGAACCACGTCCACAATATCTGCACCCATAGAACCTTGTACCATGCCTGATGCATAGCAGGTGCTCAATGCATGTGGTTGTTGTCGTTAAGTGCCTTTGAGTTAGTTCCAACTCATAGAGAAACTGTATAGGGTTTTCAAAGAGCTGCTGGTAGATTTGAACTGCCAGCTTTGTGGTTAGGTAATTGAATTTTTGATCACAGAGTGCTAGACTGACTACCTGTTGTGGCTCCTGTCTCTCTCTTTCTTTCAGACATAACAGTTTGTGCCTATGATCACCTCAGCTGGCATCTGATTGGAATGAGCTCTGGACCAGAACTGTTCTCTATTCATTTCAATGGACAAGTCCTAGAGCAGAACCATCACAAGGTCTCAGCCATCGTTCTTGTCAGTGCCACATCCGCTACTGCAAGCATGACTGTGAGCCCCGAGGGAAGGTGGACCATATCGTCTCTCATCCCAAAACATTTTCAAGGCAAGGAAATTCCTCCAACAGTCTTGCTTTCTTCCCAGACTTTAACTCTCTCATTCATCTTTGCCTTTTCAAGCCACCTCACTGCAGACATATGTACCCTGGCCCCTGAGAACAGACTGCTCTTAGACTTGAGAACCCATTGACTGAGAATGGGAGGAAGTGGAGATATTGACAGAGATTTAAAAAAAAAAAAGCAACAAATGCCAAAGAGGTCCCTACTTCCTTGAAAGGAAAACAAAGGAGGGGGGGAAATAAATACATAAAGTATTTCGTGGGGTATTTAATAATGTAACTAAAGGAAAAGACCTTTGAACAAAACAAACATTTACTTGTGAATCTATTGAAGTACCAAGTTACAGAAAGTGCATGAATTTTATCATCTAAGGATACTTTATGATGAGATGAGCATGTCACCTGACATAGAGGGGAGCTTCATGAACATGTGATGAATGGAACACACATAAGATCTAAACAGCTGAGGTCTGGGTGTCAAAGAACATCAGTAAATTCAGATGGACAAAAAATCAACTCAGGTTGTTATTTGGTATTTCATAAATAAAACAACTAGCTGCCGTTCCACTACACATTTTTGGGAGAAGAGTTCATATAAACTGAGATTAGCACATCTAAATAAGTCATATCACTATAAGAAATTATTTTGCTTTCAAAATAATGTGCATAGCTGATGTACATAAGGAAGAGATGCATCAAGATCATTCCATTTTATTTTAACACTGAGCATACATTTCATCATATTTAAAGTAGACTAATTATCATACTTGTTGTTAAGTGCCATTGAGTCGGTTCTGACCCATAGCGACCCTGTACAGGGTTTCCGAGGGTGTAAAACTTTACGGGAGTAGAAAGCCTCATCTTTCTCCTGAGGAGCGGCTGGTAGTTTCAAACCACTGACCTTAAGGTTCGCAGCCCAATTCATAACCACTAC